TTTACACTTTAAAAGTATATGGCACAAAAAAAAACCCTGTACATATTGGTCTTCCGTCTGACAGCCCTAGTTCCAAGCTGTCATAAGTGCTGTTGTGTCTCTGGAGATTTCATTCAGGTTTGACACAAAGAAGAAAAGACTCATCTGTGAGTTTCCAGCACTGGTCAACAGAAAGGACAAGCTGAATTTCTGAAACTCTACTCATGTTCGCTAAATATAATTTCTGGAAGTTTTTTTTTTTTTTTTTTTTTCATTTGGGCCTATTGTGTTTCGATAGTGAACTGAATACATTTTTTCAGTTACTAAAAAAAAAAAAGGGCCACTCTCTTCAGGTTGTGTGTTTAGGCAATACTGGAAGTGCAGTGCCATCTCTTGCCTAATGTAGATGTTGCTATTTTCCCTTATCTGTGATTATTTTTTTCAGCTATATAGTTTACTCCTTAGGCACCAAATCGCATGACCGTGAAAATTATGTCACATTTCTATTTGATGGTTTAGTACAAACTACAGTTTTGTGCAAAAGACTTGGAGATATCTCTCCAGTTTGCCAACTCTGAGCAGCATGTATAATATTAAAAGTGTATCTATACTGGAAAGTGTTTCAGTTTTGCTGCAATTTGATAGGCAGCATTTATTATATTCGAAATCCAAGTCAGTGCTCACACAGGGGCTGCCAGTTGGTTCGTGGATCCACTGTTTGTACTGAATGAGATGTTGTTCCCATTTTATCCCAAGCCCCCTTCTTTCCTTCCTTTTCCTTCCTTCCTCTGGCTCTGCCGTTGTGATCCTTTTATGGGACAAAAAATACAAGAAATAATAATGATGAAGACACAGTGATAAAGTGATAGGGTGATTTAGCACTAATCTCACATATGTAAAAAATGTTTAAAAAGAATTTGGAGGACAATTACGGAAAAGGAAAGAATAAGTGGGCATGATCCCCCAGTCGTGAACATCATGCACCAACTGCCTGTCTCACCAAAACACTACCTATAGTGTCTTTACAAGGGCATATCACAACCAACCACATGGGGAAAAGCCTGTTTACATTATTTTGCCTTGAAAAAGTAGAAGGCCCCCACCTTCCCCAGGAGCAAAAGGAAGAAAAGATTGGTCTGGTATTGACATGATTTTTGAAAAATCAAGTTCACTAAAACAAAACAAAAACCTAATGATAAAATATAATATAACATATAGTACAATATAGTTGAGAACTAAAAAAATTGTGATTTTTTTGAAGTGCTGAAACAAGTGGTTAAAAAGGTTAGTAACATGAAAGGTATTAAAAAGGCTGATTAAAACCTTAATCATAAATATAATTCCAAATTGAAGCATGAGAATCAAAAATGTTGTGCATACCTTTAGAAATATTTGCATAATTAATGAATATCAGTTATCAAAAAAGCGGATCATGTGTCTGTAAGGTTTTTGGATTTCAAAGCTGCCAAGATACAGTAATTTCTCAATGAGGGCTAGATTCCATAATCTGAATTTCATGCTCTCTAAGGAAATATTGGTGTAGTGAATAAAGTGATTAACTAGGACTTTGGGTACCAGGGTTCGAATCAGGACTCAGCCATGGAAACTCACTGGGGATGTGGAATTGGTAAACCTACTACTTATAGGAAAGGAAAGAATAAGGGGGTATGAGCTCCCTAGTACTTAAATATTTCACTTACCTTATAAATCCTATTAGGATCAGTATAAGTCTGTTCTGACTTTATGGCACATAATTAATTAAAAAAAGATTCCTACCAGTTTACCAGTTTGAAGATATAACTAATCTAGCAACAAAACACATAAATGCTATCAAATTCTTATGAATCAAGTTACAGTTACCCTGTTTCCCTGAAAATAAGACCTAACCTGCAAATAAGCTCTAGTATGATCTTTTAGGATGCTTGTAATGTAAGCTCTACCCCAAAAATAAACCCTAGTTAAGTGAAACCCCAGCCTCCACCACTGTGCAGCAACCAGAAGATGACATGACTATACAGTGGTGCCTCGCATAGCGAGGTTAATCCGTTCCGGATTAACCTTCGCTATGTGAAAACATCGCTGTACGGATCAAAAAAAAGCCATTGGAACGCATTAAACATCGTTCCAAATGGT